TAAAGCCACAATGGTATTATGTATGGGTATTCATTTTCTCAGTTCATAGTTAATTAACTATACTCCATTTCAAACATGTAGTACATTTACTTATATTACCAAAAATACTATCCCAATTATCTATGTTAAACTGCACATCAGATTGATGTACCATAGCTAACATATCTGCAAAGAAAGCCAGGTGCACCTGCCTCATGTTATACTGGGGCCGACTTTACTTTGTAATTGTTCCTCACTTCTAGCTACATATATGCTAGTTTTATATTTTCTGTGCACTCCAATTTTGTTCTTTTTTCCATTTCAGTTCCATTTTGCAAGTTCATCGCAGAGCATATTTATTGCATTTTGTTTTCTCATCCTAAATGAAATTTTGAATACCAAAGACTTTAAAACACAGATAAGAAATAGCCATTATCTTTATGAACATATTTAGATATGTACTGAATGTTTCCATTTTAACACTAACAATAGAAAACTGAAATAATGTCAGTAGACAATGGGAAAAATCATTTTAAGTCCATACGAAATAGTATACATATGTAATATAGATCCACACATTGGTCAAGGAACAAGATACATATATTAATTTAAAATAGTAAGTTGCAAAAACAAAATATACAGTATAATCTTATTTTGTTTTAAAAGTTAGCACAATCTTATATGACTTTACATATCATAGTTGTGTAGAAAAATATAAACAAATATGAATAGCTCTCATCATTTGAATCAGGATCATGATGGTGTATCTTACCATTTTTACTCTTTTTATTTATAATGCCTAAGATTTCACAATAAGTACATATACAATTTTGCAAAGAGAGTAAGAAAAAAAGAAAAAAGAAAAGAATCATATGATTGGTGCACGACGCTGCTCCAGATGTAGACAAACAAATTTGGGATTTCTAAACTAAGATATTATCTTCGACTTTCTTATACAATTTTCTTTCACAACCAAGAATATACAGTTAAAAAGAAAGGAGTTACAAACCATGACAAAAGTGGGTAAATTGGCAATTTCATTTGAATGTCTTATATTCAAGGTAAAAAATATGCTCTAAGCAACTTAGCAATTAATCCTAGATCAACTTACTCATCCATTACCATACCCTCACACCCACACACAAAAATAAACTTAAAATTGTTAACAGGTTTGAATTTAGTGAAAAACCCAGGACTATAAAAACTTATGGAAGAAAAAAAATTTTACAAGTTGGTAGGTGTGTGTTTTTAGAACACAGCAGAGGGTAAGGCAAGGGTTTGAAGGTCAGTTGATCTGGACTCTGATTAGTTCAGGTCATGATCTCACGTTTTGAGTTCAAGCCCCATCAGGTTCCCCTGCACTGACAGCACAGAGTCTACCTGGGATTCTGTCTGCCTCTTTTCTGCCCCTTCCACTTGCCATTACTGCACAATAACAAACTTAAAAAAAGAACATAAAAAAGCACAAACATTAAAAGAGCAAACTGACAAATCTGTACTTAATCAAAAGTTTTTTCAAACACCAAGTTAAGGAAATGAAAAAGTACATACAGATCAGAGAAAATATTTCCCAAACATGTTAAAAGACTTTACCCACAATAAGCTTTTTACAATTCAGTAATAAAATGAACTCAATGTTTAAAAATAGCAAAGATCTGAACTCTCCCAATAAAAAGGAAAATGAACTACCAATAAAGGCAACAACATACAATTTCAAATAATTATGCTGAAAGAGGACAGGAAAAAAGAGAGAGTATAACATATGACCCAAGATATTTATACAAACTGTATAAAAGGTAGGTTACAGTGGCAGAAAGCAAGCCAACAGTTTCCTGGGGTGGCAATAGAGGGAGGGAATGATTCCTAAATAGAACCCGCTTCAGCAGCACGTGATACCAAATGGGTACATAAAAAACTTTAAGGCATTAGAAATTATCTTGGCACTATAATATTTTCACCACTGTATGTATGGCAAAAACTGATCAAACTGCAGATTTTATACAGCCTCAAGGCTGCCTGGGTGGCTCAGTTGATTAAGGTCCAACTTCAGCTCAGGTCATGATCTCAGGGTTTGTGGTTTGAGCTCGTGCAGCAGACGGGCCCCCTGTGCTAACAGCTCAGAGCCTGGAGCCTGCTTGGGACTCTGTGTGTTTCCTCTCTCTCTGCCCCTCCCCCACTTTAGCTCTGTTGTCTCTCTCAAAATAAACATTAAACATTTTTTTTAAACAAATATAAGCAGTTCATTGATTTCAACAAATATATGCAGTTTATCAAACTCAACACAACTTGGAAAAAAATATGTACCTTGAGGAAGTTTTTTGGCTTAGGAACATTCTTCTATCATCCTTTCAGTAATACTGTATGATGATACCATTTAAAAACAGGGCATCCTGAATTGTTTCAGACTTGATGAAAGTTTAGTCCTCATAAACAACAACTACTTCTTTTAACAAAAAACATTTCATCGACCCCACAGAAGAAAGGAACAACAACAAAAACTTTCAAAGTTTAAAAAGATTAAGTATTATTTAGAAGGCAGTAACAGTAAATATTTTTAATTAATACAGTAACATTGAACCAAATGACCCTGGGATCATGACCTGAGCCAAAATCAAGAGTCAGACAACCACCTGAGCCACCCAGGTACCCTTATTAGTCATTCTTTTTTTTTTTTTTTTCCAACGTTTATTTATTTTTGGGACAGAGAGAGACAGAGCATGAACGGGGGAGGGGCAGAGAGAGAGGGAGACACAGAATCGGAAACAGGCTCCAGGCTCTGAGCCATCAGCCCAGAACCTGACACAGGGCTCGAACTCACGGACCGCGAGATCGTGACCTGGCTGAAGTCGGACGCTTAACCAACTGCGCCACCCAGGCGCCCCATTAGTCGTTCTTTAATACAGAAACGATATGCTAGGAAAAAAGCAGCTAGTTCAGCTCACAACCCAAACAACTGCACAAGTACTTCACTTTAAGATAACCATCATACTTCAGGCAGAAGCACTTTGGGGGTACTTCCCATTTCATCACATAGAATATTAAAAAGACATGCACACCCTGAGATCAAGCTTCGATTAAGATTACTATTTTACTGTTTCAGGGCACCTGGGTGGCCGAGTCGGTTGAGCATCTGACTTCAGCTCAGGTCATGATCTTGCAGTTCATGAGTTCGAGCCTCGCATCGGGCTCTGTGCTGACAGCTCAGAGCCTGGAGCCTGCTTCGGATTCTGTGTCTCCTGCTCTCTCTACCCTTCCTCTGGTCACACCGTGTCTCTCTCTCTCAAAAACAAAGATTAAAAAAACGTTTTGAAAATAAAAGATTACTATTTTACTGTTTCATCATCAGGCTTTTTGGTTTTAACCTTTACTGCACTGGTTAAGATGAACGGTTAACATGTTTTTTGCCACCTTACAAAGCTTTATTATGGCGACTTGACAGAGCCGACTCACACGGACCATGAGCCAAGACACGCCAGCTAAAACACAACTTCAAGTTTAACCCAGGATCCAGAGCAGAGGTGCCAAGTCTGCGGCTAGTGCCATTCCCGTGGGAATGGCCGCGCCACATGGCCTCCCACGCGAGCCCCAGCGCCCTCACACTACAGAGGCGCCCCTGCTGGAGGCTGCAAGGCAGGGAGCCCTCAGAGACCCTCTTGGGACTCAGGGCACAGCGGCTCCTCTCTGGGGTTGCCAAGTCCCGGCAAAGGAGGGGAGGGGGACAACCGACCGACCTCCCTTAGTGCCCAAGTGTGTGTGGTTGGGGGGAGGGGGGAGGGACCAACACGAATCCATTTTTATTTTCGGGGCAGCAGGGCAGGATCATCATGCGACAATTACCTTTCGTCATGCAACAATTACCAGGTGCACTTCGAGGACCATCTTTCTAAAGCTCTGCCCGTGCCACAGAAGCAACCCGGCTCTTCACAGCCTGGCTTCCCTCATGACACGTAGCCTTTCCGCTGGACTGGAGAGCTGCCCAACAGCAAGAATGGCAAGCAAATTTTCTCCAGACTTTTGGGCCGCTGGCGGCTGGGAAATCTGTTTTGGCCCCAGGAGAAACCAGCAGCCACTGGCATTGCCCAGATGCTGCTGCGGGGCAGAGATAACAGGCACAGGAAAGGTGGGGTGGCAGGGTCCTCCCATGTATGGTAACTACACCAACGGAGTTTGGTGCAACTGCCTTGATTCAAAAACTAACACACCAGCAGTTTTAACACCACTGCTTACATACCAGCATGTTTAAATGTAACACGGGGGGGTGGGGGTGGGGGGCAAATAACACTCTAGTATTATGAAAATAGCTTGTAACTTTGTAGACCTCTAAAAGGGGATAGGGGCCCCCAAAAGAGCTCAAACAATACTTTGTGAAATACTGCACCGTAGCATTTTTTACATTATAAGTGTACATTCTGTTTCACTGGTAAGTTACACTATAAATCATTAAATAACTTCTAAAATGTTTCCTTCACAAAAGAAAACCAGATAAAGACAGTATCATGTATAACTTTTAAATTTTTTACTCTTTCTAAATTTAAACATCCTAAAATTTCTTTATTATTAAATACAATATATGTAACAAAGAGCAAGCTAAACTTAAACACTTCAGCCTTTTCCTCATAAAGTATTTTAAAAATATTATTTAACCAAAAAGATTCTGCACCTAAGCATACTAAGATCTGCTTCAGTCTTTTCTTTATCCTAACTTTAATTTTTTTTTTTTTTTTTGACAGAGAGAGAGCGCGAGCGCGCAGCATGCAGAGCAGGGGAGAGGGGCAGAGGGACAGAGAGGATCCTAAGCATGCTCCATGCTCAGCGAGGAGCTCAGCAGGGCTCGAGCCCATGACCCTAGCATCATGACCCAGCCAAAATCAAGAGTCGAACGCTCAACCCACGGAGCCACCCAGGCGCCCTTAATTTAACTTTTTTTAGCCACCCTCACGTGATTATAAAATGTGTGTCTTCATAAAGCTGTAGTATCATTCACTGTCTCATGAAAGATGTTAAAGTACACCATTCGATACCTTCTCCCCGGAGAGTTTTTCCAAATGTGTCGTCAGTCCATTTATTTCTTTGTCTTTCTCTGCCAACTGAAGCTGAAAAAAGAAATCATTTTTTTCATTATCCACTCTCTCCCTACACATCAAGAGCTAGTTTATACCATTCTATCAAAATACTTACTATTACCATAACCCATGTATTTCCTTGGGTCTTATTCTTTGACATCTCTGGATATATCCCCCCCCCCCCCAAAA